TAATGGGTGGAGGACACATTTACTGGGTTATTAATGGGTGGAGGACACATTTACTGGGTTAATAATGGGTGGAGGGCACATTTACTGGGTTAATAATGGGTGGAGGACACATTTTCTTGATGTGGCCTTTAGTAAACAAGTTTCACCCTCCTGCTGCACTTGGGTCAAAAAGACCCACAACGTCAAGATGGCCGCCACAGCTAATGACTACAACATATATCTATGACTACAACTGTGTTGTTGCCTCCTGCTGCCCTCGTGTTGTTTCATTTTGACCTCGGGGCAGCAGGAGGGTTGATGAGGCCGAACCACGTGGTACCGCTGAAATTGGGCCGTTCTTTTTCAGAACTTTTAAAGTTGAGCCTCAGAGACAGGTGAGTATTTAAATCAGATGTTCGTGCGGAACATCCCGAACCCTGAGCTGGACTACAGAACCCGTCCTGCCGGGCCGAACCCTGCTCTATTTATACCCCCGGTTTTAATTCGGGGGGCCGCCCCCAGCCGCCTGTCTGCCCACATTAGGAGCGGCCGAGCGGCGGAGCTCAGAGCCGGAGCGCCGCGCGGAGGAACACGGAGCTCCCCGTGAGTACACCCGGGTTGTCTCACGACCCGAACCGGGCCGCGGTTCGGACTGAGTCACCGGGCACCGCCTGTTCAGAGTGTTCGGTTCTGCTGGGTTTGAAACGCCTTGAGAAATGTAGCGGTTTACATTAAACTCGGGAAAACGCAGCGATGCGAAATCTCGCGAGATCTGCGTCGCTCGGAGCGCGTGTTGTGAACGACTCTCAACTACCACACGAAACGTTCGCTCGATATCTGTCAAATTAACTTGTGCCCGCTAATGCCTCTTAGCTGTGGCGGCCATCTTGAATCACGTGCCCTCCCACAGTTAATGAGCAGCATCCCGTCCAGAGCCTTGAGTTATTTTGCTAACAGGCAAACATCCTAAATGTCGACGTTTTAAGCAAAGCAGTTGTGTTATTTGTTGAACACAAAGCGTGTGTTTTAAACAACTCTCAGCTACTACCACACCAGAATTCAGCTCAACATCTGTCGAAACTGAGCTGCAGCCATTTTTGTGTTTTCTAGGGATGGTTGGCTGAGGCGGCCATCTTTCATGGAGCTGACTCCAAAAGTGAACTAGTTGTGGACATAACTTCAGCTAATCATTCCTGTAAGTTTCATTAACATCTGTCCAGAGGTTTGTGAGTTATTTTGCTAACAGACAGAGCTGACTCCAGTGGGGGGACCAGGCTCAGCTACTACCACATCGAGATTTAGTTCGATCTCTGTAAAACCGACTAACGATGTATTTTTATTTTTTTATTTTTGCTGATGTAGCTGTGGCGGCCATGTTGCACATCTGGTGAGAACTTCCTGGAGGTTGACGGGATTCGTGAGATATTTCTGGAAACGGGACAAACGAGCACCTGGAGTCGAAGGAAAACGTGTTCCTTCGACCTTCGGTGGCGGGCGACAACAAAGCCGTCGGTTAGTGGTTCGGACCCCTGTGTGTGCAGCACAGTCCTCTGAGCACCCGTCCTGCGTTCCTCAGCTGCAGGTCAGGTAGCTCAGCGGGCAGCTGTAATGGGTCGGAGGATTAATCGACCTTTGGATCCGGTTCTGTCCTGCGAACTAAAGACTCGTATCGTTTCATTATCGCCCGCTGCAGGAAGACCGAGCTTGATGCTTTTTTATGCCTGTGTTTATTGTCTGTTAGCAAAATATCTCATGAACCACTGAACCGATTTTAACGAAACCTTCAGGTAATAATCGCTGGACGTACCTGTACAGCTGTTTCACCTCTGGAGCCAAGGAAATTCAAGATGGCCGCCACAGCTTACTCCCATTACAAACCACTAAAATGGCCACCACTTTGTTAATTTTATAGATATTGATTTAAAATTTTGTGTGTTGGTAGCCGAGAGTCATTCACAACACATACTCCAAGCGCTGCTCATTAGCTGTGCTTTCAACTTCAGCAGTAACCTTGGAAGTGAACTGTTTGTCTGTTAGCAAAATATCTTAATAACCACTGGATGTTTTTTAACGATAATCACAGGGATGACCTCTGCAGCTGATCATCCCAACTCCAGTTGGCTGTAACCAACGTAAAATTAAACATAAATTAGCTAATTTTACAGACACTGAGCTAAAATCTGCTGTGGTAGTCGTTGAGAGTCCTTACCAACACGTCGCAAAACAGCTGCAACTCCTTAATTTCCCATCACACGATGATCTTAGTGTGAAGATGCATCCCTTCACTGAAAACCGTTTTCTCGTTAAAGATTGTCGTTTGGACCGAACGGTTTGAATATCGTTCCAGTAAAGTTCAGACTGGTTCTCGGTGAATTTCCAGCTGGTGCTGCTGGATTAGACGCTGTAATCCCCGTTGAGGATGGATTATTCCCCATCTCCAGCCGGGGTCACTTTTTAACACATTTGGGCCAAACTTTGATTCTTTGTGCTTCACCCGAAGGAACAAATAAAACCCATAAATGTGTCGGGGATCATCCGTGTTTGACTTACCGGATCGTTTCTTACACGCGAGCCTTTAAAATGTCTTTAGCTGAGCTTTTTTGTCTTTAGCTGAGTTTTATCGGCTCTTTGTGTTTCTCCCCAGCAGGACGAGAGCGCGAGCTAAATCTTAAATTTGAATTTGGTGAATCGTGCAGCCAGCAGCCTCCCAGCTGCACTAAGTCTGCGGCTCGCAGCTCTTTGTTCGTCTCCATTATGTTTCCCGCAGCAGGAATGCTGACACCCGCAGTCCGGACACAAACGCTCGTTTCACGTATCGATGTACAGTACTGTGCAAAAGTCTTGAATCACTTCGTTTGCTTGTGTTGTGCTTCTGAGGAGCCTTCTTTTCCTGCCGTCTGTCTCTAATCCTACGGCCCTGTTGCTCTACTGCCACTCTTCTTCTAAAATCTTCTTTATGGCTGAATGATTCAAACATCAGAGTTAGAATAGAAGAATATGAAATAAATAAACTTTATTGATCCTCGCTGGGGCAATTCAGGTGCACCAGCAGCGAAGTGACAGGCATGCAGGTGAAAAAATAAAAACAGGAAGTATGAATAAGAGCCTGCACAGTAAAGGTTCATTTACAGCATAAGAAAAAAACAATACTGCGCAGTTATTAAAACGAGTATATTTGAAGAAATGTGCAGCTGAGTGCACGCGTTAGTTTCCTTCGATGGTTTGTGTCACGTGATGTAAAATATTTGTTTTCTTGTTGCCAGCAGAGCGTCCCACACCGCCTGGAAACCTCGTGCGACAAGCGAGTCGTCGAGCAAAGTAATTAAAGTCATTAATTTAATTTAATCCTCCGCTCTTCGCAGGTAGCGCGCTCGGCGTCGACGCCGCAGAGGTAAAAACGGTGACGCGGGTCGATCAGCTTGTGGATCCGACGAGTCCGCGGCCCGTTTGGCATCGGGCTTCTCGAAACGGAGCCGAGGTGTTGAGTTTCAGTGCAAGAGGAGATTCCTGCAGGCTGGAGTCGATCATCTTACATGAGGAGGAGGGATTCAGTGAAGGACGCCCAGTTAGAAAACAAATAATTACATATTTAAATGATTTATTGTTGCTCTCAGACTTGATCCAAATGGAAAGTTGTCTTTTTTTTAATTTTGAGTTCATCTCTGCTGTAACAAACTTTAGTTTAAAACTCTAAACTCGTTCATTTAAACTCCACCAGTGACGTTTGAATGTGTAAAAGAACAAGAAATACCAAAAGACGAGTTCATTTTATTAAGGGGAAAAATAATAATGTTTTTTTTATTAAACAATGAAAGTCAGTTGAGCTGGATCCTGCCGGAACAGGATCTGGGAACTTTCTTATTATGACAGGGTGCGTTCAGATCCGGTAACTCTCAGGCTTAATAATAATAAAGTTATGAACAAATATGACCGCCTTGAATGAATAAAACCTACATTGGCTATGTAACCTAAAAATATAATATTATATAATATAAAACAAACACTAATTTTAAACACAACAGCCACTTACGAGCTTCTTAATATCACAGAAGAGCTGCCGCTTCAAGTAAGCATTTCCACTTCTACCCTTAAAAAAAATCTCCGCCCCTAAAAGTCCAAAGTCGTCGTCCAGTTTTATTTAATAAAACTCAAAAATATAATTAAACAGCACCATGAAACTGCAAATCAGCTCGACAGTTTAAATGGGTCATTAATAAAGTTATTATTTATTAAAAATACAAAGAGAGAAATGTTTCAAGGTTCTTTTTATTGTCATTTGCATCACACGTGGTACACGAGGTGGAACAAAACTGTGTCATCAAGGTCCCAGTTACATCCAACGGCAAAACTAAATTGTAAAAGAAACGGTACTAAGGATCAAAGATGTAAACTAAGAAATACGTTAAACATTAATAGTGCAAAATGTTTGTGTATTATTCACATTACGCATCCAAACAACGGCGCTAATTTGTCAAAAAGACAGTCCAATTTATTTAATAAAAAACGCTTCTCGTTGTCTTTAGTTGGACAACTGAGAACTGAAGCATCTGAAGGAAACGGCAGTCCAGACTGGAGGAGGAGCGAGCGAGTGGGGGGGTGTGGGGGGGGGGGGGGGTGCCGAGGTAACCAGGCAGGCGTGCACGAGAACACAGGCAGCCGCCATGAACAGACGGAGGAGGCGCCTGGAGGTTTCACATGTGGAGTCGGATAACGATCAGGACTGTGAATTCAGTGGAGTCCGGCTCTGAACCGTCAAGTAATGGGAGGTGGGGGGGTTGTGTTTACAAATGTAGGTGAACGTAGATGTTTAAAAACCCGTTAAAATGCAGGAAATAGCATCTACTTAATTCAAAATGTTCTAGGGGAGGAAATGAGCTTCGTTGACACGGAGCCCGTCTCAGCTGTAGAGGTTGGGAGAGAAGCTCCATCAGCCGGGAGGAGCTTAGAGTAGAGCTGCTTCTCCTCCACATCAAAAGGAGTCAGCTGAGGTGGTTCATCTGGTCTGGATTACCTCCTGGATGCTTTGACACATGGACCGCACTGCCTTCTGGGTCAGACGGGAAAAATAGTTCAGAGAAAGTAGATTTACGTGTTTGGATCTCAGCCCAGGTCAGATTTTTAACGTGTTTCTTGTTTTAGTTGTCACAGCTGGCACCCTGAAGCTTGAACCAGTAAACGGGCTGTTTTTACCAGTTCTGCTGCATTTAAACTGGTTGTTTTCCATCTTTCAGGAGAAATGCGTCACTCTCTGAGGAACAGAATCGACGAGCGAAGCAGCAAAAGAAGTCTTCAGGTCTGAAGGCATCCTCGCCGTGAACATCCAGCTCCTGTAAACGGACAAACCCTCCTTCCTGCTGGCAAATTAAACCTTCACAGGAACATGGAAGCTGCAGAGAACCCGGTCCTGGAGTCCAGGGCGGAGAGGATCGCCCGCTACAAAGCCGAGAGGAGGCGAGAACTGGCCGAACGCTTCGGCGCCGTGGAGGAGCTTCCCTCCAAATGTGTGAGGAGGGACGAGAGAGGGCTGACCCAAACCCCGGGAGGGGCGCTGAACTCAGACGACCTCGGCGAACGGATAAACGGCCGAACCCAAGAAGCTCAAAATGGATTGGAAGCAGACGTTCCTGCAGAAGACGACTCCCTGAGAAGGTGAGTCCACTCTCCACCAAGTGTTTCTGAAAACGAGCGGCTCGTTTGGGTTCAGCTTGAGGACGGAAGTCTTTAAAACACGTTTAATACAAAACATATAGCTGTTAAAGTCTCAGAATATTAAAAAAACTAAATTATTTTAGTATTAAAACATTTAAAA